ATGGTCTAACAGAGTTTCTCAGAGAGAGTGAAAAACATAGAATAGAGGTCGTCTCTCAATGTGCAGCAAAAAAAACAAAAACAAAAGGACAGCAGGTGAGGGCAGGAGGGGTAGGGATGTAAGCTAGCATAATGCCGCTGATGATATTAGCTAAAGCTGTTCAATGTCCAAAATCTCACTAACACCACGGTGCAGTAAATACACAATGTAACTGAAGAGTCAGTTGGCAAATCTATTCACACAGAAAACCAAATTATGTTATGAGTGTAATTAGGTTTAATGTGATATTACGGCTCTTGTGCCAAAGACAAATTCAAATGAAAAAGCGCCAATTCTTTGTCAACAGATAAAACAGCAAATAAGCTAACGGCTCTTTTTTAGCATGTTACATGGCGGCACTCTAGACGTTTAACTACATTTGGCTGAAATATGGTAAATATTAATTCAAAAAATCAAGACATACCAAAAACATAGAGTTGGCTGCTCGACTTGACTGAGATGGATGCCTTTTTTAAACCACGATCCAAAGCTCGCGAAATGAAATCACGCGTGGTTTCACGAGATTTAACGTTGCTATCTTATTGACTTACTTGATCTTACTTATTGGTACCCTGCTGTCGTAATCCCTCCTCACACTGAGCTTAGACGCAGGACTTGATTACCGGAATAAAGATATCTGCCCATTTATTTCAATTTTTGGATCTATATCTTCTCCTATTGTATTTATCCAGATTATCGACCGAGGTTTGGTCCTGTGTTTCATTGAACTGTTTTTAATCTTTTTTGTGTTTTTGTCTTCTGACTGAATGACCCCTGAACAGATTAGTTAAAGCAGAAAGGTGAGTTAGGTTAATGAGTGACAGCCTAATGTTTGTTTTGCTTTCTGCTAGAAGACATAGGCCTGTTTGATCCTCATTCACAGGTGAAGGCAGTGGGACGTGTCATGGATCTGTGTGTGTGTATAACCTTCAGGATACAATGCTGACGAGGGAAAACTCGTCCACACACAGCCACTGTCTTGTGTGAATAGCTAGCTTAGCTTTTAGCCAAGTTGTTGGCACCACAGCTTCTTCATTCAATTCAATTCAATTTTATTTATATAGCGCCAAATCACAACATAAGTCGCCTCAAGGCGCTTCATAGATACAGAGAAAAACCCAACAATCATATGACCCCCTATGAGCAGCACTTTGGCGACAGTGGGAAGGAAAAACTCCCTTTTAACAGGAAGAAACCTCCAGCAGAACCAGGCTCAGGGAGGGGCGGGGCCATCTGCTGCGACCAGTTGGGGTGAGAGAAGGAAGACAGGATAAAAGACATGCAGTGGAAGAGAGACAGAGGTTAATAACAGATATGATTCAATGCAGAGAGGTCTGTTAATACATAGTGAGTGAGAAAGGTGACTGGAAAGGAAAAACTCAATGCATCATGGGAATCCCCCGGCAGCCTACGTCTATTGCAGCATAACTAAGGGAGGATCCAGGGTCACCTGGTCCAGCCCTAACTATATGCTTTAGCAAAAAGGAAAGTTTGAAGCCTGATCTTGAAAGTAGAGATAGTGTCTGTCTCCTGAATCCAAACTGGAAGCTGGTTCCACAGAAGAGGGGCCTGAAAACTGAAGGCTCTGCCTCCCATTCTACTTTTAAATACTCTAGGAACAACAAGTAGGCCTGCAGAGCGAGAGCGAAGTGCTCTAATAGGGTGATATGGTACTACAAGGTCATTAAGATAAGATGGGGCCTGATTATTTAAGACCTTGTATGTGAGCAGCAGGATTTTGAATTGTGGATTTAACAGGAAGCCAAAACAGGAGAAATCTGCTCTCTCTTTCTAGTCCCTGTCAGGACTCTTGCTGCAGCATTTTGGATTAGCTGAAGGCTTTTCAGGGAGTTTCTAGGACTTCCTGATAATAATGAATTACAGTCGTCCAGCCTGGAAGTAATAAATGCATGAACTAGTTTTTCAGCGTCACTCTGAGACAGGATATTTCTAACTTTAGAGATGTTGCACAAATGGAAGAAAGCAGTCTTACATATTTGTTTAATATGTGCGGTGAAGGACATGTCCTGGTCAAAAATGACTCCAAGGTTCCTCACAGCGTTACTGGAGGCCAAGGTAATGCCATCCAGAGTAAGAATCTGCTTAGATATCATATTTCTAAGATTTTCAGGGCCGAGTACAATAACCTCAGTTTCAAGTTTTATTGTCATAAACAGTGTAGCCACATTTATCCATAATGAAATTCTTTGGCTCGTGCTCCTCAGCTTTACATGAGCATATAGAGAGTGTGCAGTTATATTGAGAAGAAAATAACAGAAAATAGCAGTGGTAGTAATAAAATAATAATAATAACAATAAAAAGAAGACGTATTAAAAAGTATTAAATATTAGAGAATTTAGTTGGTATTTACAAGCTTGTGCAAGAGTATCTCAGGTTGTACAAAGTTGTGCAATTTAAGTAGCATTTGTTGAAGTGACAGTGTACAGTGTGTAGTGGTGTGTATGGGATGTCAGCAGTTCAAAAGTCTGATGGCTTGTGGGTAAAAACTGTCCCTGTGTCTGGTAGTGTGGGTCTGGATGCTCCTGAACCGCCTGCCGGACAGCAGGAGTGTGAAAAGTCTGTGGCCGGGGTCAGAGAGGATCCGCTGTGTCTTCCTCATGCGGCGCTGTCTGCAGAGATCCTGTATGGCTGCCAGTTCAGTCCTGGTGATGCGCTGATCTCACCGCCCTCTGCAGAGCTTTGCAGTCCAGAGCATTACAGCTGCTGTACCAGGTGGTGATGCAGCCAGTCAGAATACTCTCAATGGGGCATCGATAGAAGTTTGTAAGTATTCTGAGGTTCATGCCGAATCTTCTCAGGCGCTGCAGGAGGAAGAGCCGCTATCTTGCTGCTTTTGTGATCACACCAACATGGTGTGACCAGCTCAGATCCTCGCTGATGTTGATGCCCAGGAATCTGAAGCGCCTGACTCTCTCCACCTCTGCTCCTTCGATGTGGATGGGGGTGTGGGCTCCTCTCTGCAGTCTCCTGTAATCCACACAGAGCTCCTTGGTTTTGCTGACGTTGAGCAGCAGGTTGTTGTCGCGGCACCGTGGTGTCAGGGCTCTCACCTCTGCCCTGTATGCTGTCTCATCTCCATCAGAAATGCAGCCGTTGATGGTGGTGTTGTCTGCAAATTTGATGATGGTGTTGGAGCTGTGTGTTGCTGTACAGTCGTGGGTGAACAGGGTGTAAGCAGGGGGCTGAGCACACATCCCTGGGGGCACCTGTGCTGAGTGTGAGTGTGGATGAGGTGATGTCTGTCAGGAAGTCCAGGATCCAGCTGCACAGGGAGGAGCTAAAGTTCAGGTCACGGAGTTTCATAACGAGTCTGGGTGGTATGATGGTGTTGAAGGCGGAGCTATAGTCCATGAACAACATCCGCACATATGTGATTTTCTGGTCCAGGTGAGAGAGGGCAGCGTGAAGTGCTACTGCCATTGCATCGTCTGTAGATCTGTTGGGCCTGTAGGCAAACTGGAGCGCATCAAGTGAAGCAGGGATTAAAGATGTAATGTGAGCTTTGACTATGCGCTCAAAGCACTTCATGGTAATGGAGGTGAGCGCTACTGGGCGACAGTCATTTAGGCAGCTCACATTAGTTTTCTTAGGGACAGGGATGATGGTGGTCCTCTTAAAACATTTGGGACAGCAGACTGGAGCAGGGAAAGGATAAAAATGTCTTTGAAGACATCTGCCAGCTCGTGGGCTTTGAAAACACGACCTGGAGTGTTGTCTGGTCCAGGAGCTTTCAGAGTGTTTACTTTCCTGAAGTATTTACACACGACCGCCTGAGATATCTGAAGAGGGCAGCTCTCCTCTTCCAGCAAAAACTCCTGAGATATATGTTCATCAAAGCGTCCATAGAAGGTGTTGAGATCATCAGGTGGAGAAGCCGTTGCCTCCCTCACTCTCCTGCTGTTTCCCTTGTAGTCTGTGATGGTCTTCAGACCGCTCCACATGCTCCTGGTGTTGGAGTAGCTGTAGCAGAGTTCCACGTTTCCTTTGTACTGTCCCTTTGCCGTCTTTATTGCTTTCCTGAGTGCATACCGGGATGTTTTGTATTCACCTGGGTCTCCGGATTTAAAGCCTGCAGTCCTCTGAGCGCTGCACGGACCTCTCCGTTAACCCACGGCTTTTGGTTGGGGTAAGTTTGTACAACAGCCGTCATTGATGCATTTATGACTAAAGTCCGTTACGCGTCATGGGCTGGTTGCTTTTCAGCTTCTGCCTATAGGAAGCTGCCTATAGGCTGGCAACAGCAGAACTGAGGAGTGATCTGACTTGCCGAAGGCCGGTCGGGGGCGGGCTTTGCAGGCATGTGCGTATGGAGCGTAAACATGGTCTAAGATGTTATCACCACACGTTGGAAAGTTTACGTGCTGGTAAAACTTAGGCAGAACTTTCTTCATGTTGGCTTTATTAAAGTCACCAGCCACGATAAAAGCAGCCTCTGGGTGTAGCATTTCCTGCCGGTCGATAATGTCAAACAGTTCGTCCAGTGCCCGTGTGGTTTCAGCGTGGGGGGGAATGTAAACAGCAGTACAGAATACTGCTGTAAACTCCCTGGGCAGATAAAAGGGTCTGCATCTGATCATAAGGTGTTCAAAATCAGGAGAGCACCCCGACGAAACTATCTGTACATCAGTGCACCACCGTTTGTTGGTCATTACGCACACACCACCTCCCCTACATTTACCCGAGTCCTTTGTTCTGTCCTGGTGGTGAATGGAGAGCTCCTCAGACGTTGCAGTTCTTACTGTCCCTTTGGAAAGTTATCCTGGCCCTTAGTTCATCCAGTCTGTTTTCCAAGGACTGGACCTTAGCTAGGACAATGCTGGGAAGCAGGGTGCAATGTTGTCTTTTCCTCAGCCTGACCAGAATCCCGGCTCTTTTTCCCCTTTTTCTCCAGAGTTTCTTCTTCCCAGGTAGCCAAGGTGAGTCACCACCATTCACAAAAAAGTTGGTTTGTGAAGGTCCAGATTGCGAGTTTTGTCAAATGTCCAGGAGAGTTTGTCTGTAGGTGATAAAAGCATCACAGGTTGAAAATAAACTAAGAAATAACATAACTAGCATAAGAAAAACGCAGAGTTGAGGCGGACACCGAGCGACAGCAGCCATTTGCAAGTTTGATCTGAATTTAGAAGCAGAAAGTTAGCGGCCATCCAGGTCTTTATGTCTTTAAGACATTCCTGCAGTTTAACTCATTGGTGTGTGTTATCTGGCTTCATGGACAGATAGAGCTGGGTGTCATCTGCATAGCAGTGTAAATGTATGCTATGTCTTCTAATGATGCTGCCTAAGGGAAGCATGTATAATGTAAACAGAATTGGTCCTAGCACTGAACCCTGTGGAACTCCATAATTAACCTCAGTGTGTGAAGAGGACTCTCCATTTACATGCACAAACTGGAGTCTATTAGATAGATATGATACAAACCACTGCAGTGCAGTACCTGTAATACCTACAGCATGTTCTAATCGCTCTAATAGGATATTATGGTCGACAGTATCGAACGCTGCACTGAGGTCTAGCAGGACAAGCACAGAGATGAGTCCACTGTCAGAGGCCATAAGAAGATCATTTGTAACCTTCACTAAAGCTGTTTCTGTGCTGTGATGAGCTCTGAAACCTGACTGAAACTCTTCAAATAAACCTCTGCAGATGATCTGTTAGCTGTTTGACAACTACTCTTTCAAGGATGTTTGATATAAAGGAAGGTTGGAGATTGGCCTATAATTAGCTAAGACTGCTGGGTCTAGAGATGCTTTTTGAGTAAAGGTTTAACTACAGCCAGCTTGAAGGCCTGTGGTACATAGCCGATCATTAGAGATAGGTTGACAGGATGAGCTCATACTGTTTAGGTGGTGCTGATTGGCTGTTGTTTCCCTCATCACTTCCTGTTGAAGGAGTTGGTTGTGGCTGTGTTTCTCCTTCTGTTTAGCGAGCTCCACCTGCACCGCGACAGACACCTGGCACACACACACACGGTTTAACGTGTTTCTACCAATCACATGTCTCCGAGCACTCAGAGTACCTGTCAGCGTGCTTCCGCCTGGCCTCCAGGTGTTTACATTGCTCTTGCAGTCTCCTCCTCTCTTCCCTCCTCCTGCTTAGCTCCTCCTGCACCTCCTGCACATAAACCATAGACCATCATGAGCATCCACCCATCGTCTGACCTGTTCAGGGTCAGCTGACCCAGTGTGAGGTATCAGCTCCTCTTCCTCCTCACACATCAGCACACTATGGTGCTCCCTGACCTGCAGCTCTGTTTGCTGCCGGCTTTTCTCTCGGAGACACGACTCGGCCTCTCCCCTACGGGACTCCACTTTGTGCATCAGCTCGGCAAGCTCCTCCCTCTTCCTGTCCACCACGCCCTCCAGCTCGTGCTGCTCATCCCTCGCTCCCTCCACCTCGTCCCTCTTCAGCTGATTGGTTTAAAGAGTCACATGGTCACTCACTTCCTGATCTCAAAACAAAAAGCACAAATATTCAAAATAAAGCAGAGCAACTGCTTTTCTGTTATAACCCGGGATCCTCCGTCAGCCGCGCCGGCCCATCTCCATCAGGACAGGGTCCAAGCTCTGGGACAGGTACAGGTGTGACCTCACCTGAGTGCTGAGAGAGTCCAGATGCCCCTGAGCCTCCACACAGTCAGACAGCAGGTCAGCGAGTCTGCACACGCACACACAGCTGAAGTTTATATGGAGACACCTGACAAAATACAACAGCCACCTCTTCACAGTAAAAACTTCCTGTCTCCTTCACAGTAAAAGCCTCCTTACGTGTCTCTGGCTGTTTGTATTTCCCTGTCGAGCTGTTGGAGCTCCTCCTCTCTGCTCCTCAGCTCCTCCTCCACCTGCCTGAGCATCTGCCCTTCCTCCTCCCTCATCCTCCTCAGCTGCTCCACCTCTTCCTGCAACTCCCTGTGTGATGAAGATGGTGGCGATGATTAAAATATCCACCCTGATCTTTGAGGTCATGGTTGGAGCCAGGACACTTTACCTGGCACGCTGTTTGTCCTCCCCTCTGAGCCGCAGCGCAGCGGCGTCTCGCTGAGCTTCGCTGGCCTGAAGGTCACACGAGGACGGAGCGGGAAGGGTCGAGGTTAGAGCGGCGAGCGCGTCATCAGTTATTAAAGAAACTGATCCAAGCTCATGTTTTTCTGTCCTTTTATTCGTTTTGGTGATTGACCATAAAATTATTAATGAATAGTTTTGTCAATAAAACTGATGTAAAAAGATTCAGTGTCAGGGTGACGAGACGCTGAGCCTGGACCTGCTGGACGTTTCCTCCTGTTAAAAGGAGTTCGTCCTCCCCACAGTCACCAAGTGCTGCTCACAGAGAATCGTGTGATTGTTGAGCTTTTCTGTAATATTGTGGGTTCGCCAGAGTATAACACACCACCGTGTGTGTGTGTGTGTGTGTGTGTGTGTGTATACCTGGACTCTGCTGGTGTGTATGCAGCTCTGAGCCTCCAGCAGTTTCCTGTCGGCCTCTCGTAGCTCCGCTCGTCTCTTCAGCAGAGTTTTCTCCACACACTCCACCTCATCACACAGCTTCACGACACTCCTGCGCGCGCGCGCACACACACACGCACACACACACACACACACACGC